GCTAAAGCAGTAGAAGATGACCAATTTGCAGCACAGAGGTAAACTCATCTGGGCTGATACATTGTGGCAGGACATTGCTGCCCAGGTAGAGAACCTTGCTGTAAAGGTACATCATGTAGATGCCCATGTGCTTAAGAACTGGGCTACTGAAGAACATCAAAACAACAAACAGGTAGACAAGGTTGTAAAATTGAAGTGGCTCAGATAGACCTGGCCTGGGAGTATAAGGATGAGGTATTTGTAGCTCAGTGGGTCCATACAACATCTGCACATCTAGGAAGAAATGCAACGTACACATCCAGGGATGGGCATGAACACTGAAGCCATCACACAGGTTTTCCATGAAAGCAAAACATGCACTATAATCAAACAAGCCAAGTAAAGTCTCTCTGGCATAGGGAATGGTGGCTACAATATCAATATGGGGAGGCCTGGAAGATCAGTTATATCACACTGCCATGAATCCACCAAGGCAAGCACTGCATGATTACCATGGTGGAGGTGATCAGCGGAGGGCTCAAAACACCCTGTAACTAATATCACCACTTGAAACACCATCCTGATCCTTGTAAAGCAAGTTCTGTGACAGCACAGCACCCCAGAAAGAATCAAGTCAGACAACAGGACTCATTTCCAAAGCAACTTCATGAGCACCTGGGCCAAGAAACATGGCATTGATCATAGATTCATAGAATAGTTTGGGTTGGAAGGGACCTTGAAAGGTCTGCAATGGGCAGAGACATCTTCAACTAGATCAGGTTGCTCAGAGCCCTGTCTGACCTGACCTTGAATGTTTCCAGGGATAGGGCATCTACCTCCTCTCTGGGCAACCTGTTCCAGTGTTTTGCCAAACAGGATTGTATGTAGTACATTCCCTATCATGAATCAGATTCTGAAAACACTGAAGGATACAATGGACTGTTAAAGACTGTACTGAAAGCAATAAGTGCTGGAACATAGAAGCATTGGTATGCAAATTTATCAGAAGCCACTTAGCTGGCTAATACCAGAGAATCAAATAACTGACCCGGCCCTGCCCGAACAAAACTCCTATGTGCTGTAGAAGGACATAAAGTCCTGGTAATACATGTAGGGAACTAGCTGGGAAAGATATCATGGGCAAATCCATTCACAGGATTGCTTTTGGTCAAGGACCCAGATATAATTTCTAGGTAATGCAGGATGGTGGGGAAATCTGTTGTGCACCTCAAGGAGGTTCAACCCTAGGGAAAAAAATAACCCATGATTTGAGTTGTATATTATAGGAAGTATAACAGCAGGAATCACCTGAACCAACAGAGAATGAGCCTTGCAAGAAACCAAGCAAGTACAGCAGCGACCCAATCTGAGCTGGGTTTAGCATCCAATAACTCAACGCAATGTGAAATCTCTTGTCCTGAGTAACCAGCATAATGAATGGAGCCTGAATTACAGACTATGTAAACTCAATGGACATTTTATGGACTTTTTACAGGGGAGGCTCATAGACTAAGGCAATGATATCTGTGTGTACAGCAAGAGAGAGGAAGAGGGAGTGGTGATTGAGGATGTATTGGATAGTGTGGGACCCAAGCATGACATAAATGGTATGGAATAACGCATAGAGGTTGTACTAGATTTGGCTGGAGTGGAGTTAACTTTCTTCATAGCAGCTGGTATGGTTCTGTGACTTAGATATGTAGCTAAAACAGTGTTGATAACACACTAGTGTTTTACCTATTGCTGAGCAGTGCTTGCATAGTATCACGGCTTTCTCTGTTTTCCAACTCTGCCCTCTGCAGTGAGTAGGCTGGGAGTGGGAGAGGACACAACCTGGACAACTGACTCAGACTGACCAAAGGGATATTCCATGCCATACAACATCATGCCCAGCAATAAAAACTGAGGGGATGTAAGAGTTGGTCCGGAGTTTCCCTCATATGTCTCACGACCGTCGTGAGGATAGAGGCTATCCCAAGGACCCCCACCCATTTCTGGACAGGAGTTCTGGCCTGGCTGAGGTGGATGCTGGCCAAGTGACTGTTTGCTGGTGTGCTGTGCTTGCTGTGCTGCTACGGTACAGTGCCTTTGAACAGGTACTGCACCTACAGCTGCTTCTCAGAGCACCACTGCATGTTCTGTCTCAAGCACCTCACAATGGCCCATAAATCTCCCCACCTCTTGGCCAGACGCCACTCGCTTTGGAAAAAGACTATAAGAAAGCAACCCTCTGGAGAAGCTTTTGAGATCTCCCCACAGAAGATGTGCCTATTGGCTGGGACCACGAGGACACCGGAGTCTCTTTGGCCAGACCACAAGGACACCGGTATCTATTGGACCAGGCCACGAGGACATCCGTCTCGTCTGTTGGTAGCTATTCCCTATCCCCCTCTTTCTCTCTCTCTCTTTCTTTACTTTTTCTTTAACTCTCCCTCTATCACAAAACTGAGTTGTTGGCACTCAATAAAAGTGCATTTCTGCTTTGAGCAAACTGACTTGTCCCCTGCTGTTGTCTTTTGCACCTTTGAGATCAAAAACGAACCATCACGAATCTCGCCTGTATTAACAGCAGATTGTGACAGGGGAGGAGAGATTTGGAAGGTAGTCACTGCTTGGAGACGAGCTGGGCATCAGTCTACTTGTGAAAGGTGGTGAGTGGTTGCCTCTGCAACACTTATTTTGTTTTCTTTCTCTTTCCTTTGCTTATTAAACTATCTTTATCTCAACCCATGAATTATCTCATTTTCCTCTTCCTGTTCCTTCCCCTGTCACAGTGGGCTGGGCGAGTGAATGTGTGGTGCTTAGCTGCTGGCCAGGGTTAACCCACCACTGCTAATTGGTTTATAACTGCATCAATCTGTAAAAATTAGTTCTTTCAATGCACCACAAGCTACATACATGTTTGCACTTTATTGTGGAAACATATAGGACTGAACAGCATCTTAACTAAGTATAAAGTTTAGCAACTTTATATATTTGAAGGACACATTTACAATAAGTAGCAAGAGACCACAACCATGCCACTCAGATGATACTCCCATAGTAATAAGAGTGTATTTCCAAAGCGTTACACACAGCTTCTTTCTTTATTAATTGGATGATGTCATGGATTTCAGCACCTAACCTATTTTGCACACTGTATTAGAAATATTCAGGGAAATTATCTAAAATGAACAGTTTCAGTGTAAGACTTGAATCTAGAGCACTGTATATATTTTATATGCAGGTAAGTAAAAGTTAGCACATCAGGAAACACAACAATCCAGAGTAAATAAATGAGAACTGTTGTTTCACAGTGTAAAAATATAAATTGGAATGCTAACTCAGATCCAAAGATTAAGACATCATTGATGTTATTGTAGGCTTATGAGAAGAATAGCAGAAAGAGGATGCCAGCTAGAAAGAAGCAGGAGCTTCTCAAATAACATAGCAGGTCATAGAGATACAAAAAAATGTACTTCGTGCACTGCTATATCAGTCTGTGCTGCAACTGGTCATAATGTGATAGTCTTAATCAAGTCATTAGCTATTCTGCTTTTCCTTACCACTGCCTGGGGTGATTGTCCCATACCCCACACAGTTGTGCTCTGTTGTTACCCAGAGCCTATAATATTTCTGTTTTTCTTTCCATTGCAGATGGCAGATACAAGCTTCAGGAGTACCCACAATTGTGTATCCATTAATTGCTGAATGTGGAGGGTAAGATATACATGTATCAGCTTGTATCCAGCATCAGGTGGTTTTCCTGTGGGTCAGATGGAGGGATTATTCTCATGTTAGCCAAGTGTGATGCAAGACATTTTGATGACTCCTGGGATTTGAATCTAACTTATAGCTTTACAAAATGCTTGGACAACTAGCCTTATAGATTTTGCCTTTATTATGTCATTCTGCTCACAATTTGGCTATGGGATTTGCCTCATGATAACTTGTTAATATATATTTTGTATCCCTCCAGGTCTATGCATTCCTTTGGCTCAAGTACAGCTCAATAGTTCTGAGAGTGGAATTTGTCACTGGTAATAAGTCCTTTAAAGATTTATTTCAAAGGGCATTTGTACTTGTATTATAACTTGAAGAAAGCAGAAATATTGTTCTACAGAAGTGAAGAAATACAGAACAATTGGCTCAGTAACAGCTGCTATGTATTTTCTATGCAACAGGTTTACTCCTACAGTGAACAATTTTGATTAATTCATTAAAAGCCATCTTGTGGATAAAGTTAATAGAGAGTGTTCATTCCATGTATGAAGTGATTACATGCTATGTTGACTTAAAGTCACTAAGCCATACAACATATAGCATTAAGTGTCTGCAAAAAAACAAGTTTTCTTCACAGCCGAACACAATTATTACTGATCTCCCACCACATCAGCACTATAAAGGGTAAGCAAATTCAGAGCCAAATTGGAATTGTCTTTTCTAGAGTAATATTCAGTAATCTATGACTTCGAGTGAATTAGCAAAACAATCTGAAAGGTCATGATCTTGGAGGTCATAGCCTTTTTTCTCTCCCCAGGATCTGCTCAGCTACCTGTAACCAGCCTTTAGAACATTAATGTTCTGTCAGGAGTGTATTATGTTTTAAAATTCTATTTATATATATAAAACCTACCATACATACACAATGCAGAGACAAAAGCCAGCCTCAAGATTGAGTAAATGTCACTGCAGAAATTGTGGGGCTAGCTGATAAACGGACAAAAGGATTTCAACTATCATTTAAGGTGGAGCTGCTGAATCACAGGATGGGGAAAAAAAAGCCATTATGCCTCTTTTAGGGCATTAAACCACTTTTCCCTCTTTACAATACATCTAGATTACAGACTTTGTTAAAGGCCAATATAGGCTTCAAAAGAAATACATTTTTTATAGATCAGGTCCCTTATCAACACTAAAAAGATGCCTTTTTTAGATTAATAACTAATAAAAATTCTATCGAACCAAAACTCCCCTTACTATTCAGAATATTTTGAGTTGGAAGGGAACCACAAGGATCATCAAGTTTGACTCTTAAGATAATAGCCCATACAGGGATCAAACCCATGACCTTGGTGTTATTAGCACCATGCTTTAACCAACTGAGCTTCGGAACATTTGATTCATGTCTACAACCTTGTTCAAACTATTTCAGCAGTGTCATATTGCACATAGTGATCCTGTGATCTGCACAGAGGTGAAACCATTCCATCCGTTTCAGAGATTGTGCACTTATGATGATTCAAACAACTACTTTACCCTTTAAGGAACTTGCAGAACTACTACTTTTAATATAAACAAACTTTTTTGCAATTAACCCTTTACTTTCTTGACCTTATTTTAAAGAGAAAGTTGTCAGCTCTGTTTTCTTAGGTGGATATTAATATAGTCAAAATAAATGTTATTTTATACTAGCCTGCACATGTTCCTTTAGCCAAGGATGGAAAGAAGATACAAGGGTTACAGACTGAATGGTGATATTTCTAGAAATAGAACTAGTTTAAATATTTGAATCATGTCATGGGTATATTAAGTACCACATCATGTGATCCTGAGTGACATTTTAGAAGAATAGCAGAGTCATGACTAAAGTTCACACAGATACAAACAATATATCTGCAAATTTTAAACTATTTAGCTGTCTAATAGTGATAAATGTACTGAGCAGAACTTCCCATGTGGTGGAGAAATGAGTTACAAAATATACTGGTCTTGTATATTTGAGAAATAATTCCTTTGAGTCATCCTTAGCTTGATCTAGACTCCACAGAATCCAGTGCAAATTTTTCTCTGCCCTTCTACACCAGTTGTGGGCATCTTAGAAACATCTGCAAGAAATGTCATAAGTGACTAAATGCCTGGTATATCATTTTTAGATGCCTAAAAACCAGTTTACACTGCTCTTGGTATGCTATATCACTCTACAAGGTCAGAGGATAAAATCTAAATTAAAACATTAAATCTCATAAAACAATATTGGCGGGGTTTTTTTCAGTTTCTCATAAGTCAGCCTGAGCAAGACATGATCCTTTCTGACTGATCTCTGTCTAATATAAAAATCTCCATAGAGCATAAATAATGTTAGTGCAGACATCATGCTAAGTATGTCTTAATCATAGCATGGAATGTCTCTAGGAAAAATAAACTAAAATTCAGTTTTATTTTCTCCTTTTAATTCCAGAGGTACATGAACTGGTATAAAAATCAAAGCCTCTTTTAAAAAAGAATAAACTAAAAAATTCAAAATTTCTTGCTATGAAAGGAGAAGGAAATGACTGTGACTCTTAATAGGTCACACAACTACTCTTCAGTCACAATACTTTTTGCTTTCTACCAGATAAAGATCTAGACCACTGAATTTGACCTGGTGAGATTTAGAACCCCAAGTTCTCTTGCTGAAGCCAGTGAAAGGTGTTGGTAGTGCTTGCCTTTTTGAATCAGTCAACCACTATTTTACAATATGAAAACCTAATCCCGACAGTGCTGACAGTTATAAACTATCCAATAACTTCCCAAAATAAAGATGGTTTCTCTGAACCTTTGCAAAGGAACTAATGTTTCCCCTTATTTAAATTGTTATTTAAGGGTTGACATTTGAAACAGCTTCACAGTGGGATGACACGTTTTTCTGTACTAAGTAGTTATGCAAATCAACAAATTATAAAACTTTCACCACATCCTGTGGTGCTTTCAATTAATTTTTACTAAGTCTTGTATTTGAAATGCCACCATTTGAGTTACCTCGAATAAGATAAGCAATGGAGTTAGTTAAACTGACCTTGAAGCTGAAGGTAGACACGTCCTGCTACATGCAGTGAGCCCAGAGTGCAAAGGGAATAACAAGTTGGCTTGCTCATGGGATTCCAGGTAATATGAGAACAGGAAAGGAGGAGACAGAAGTGAAAATAATTGCTGCAGTGGCCAATCCTATTTCACTCAGTTATATCAATGACATTGCTCACACAAGGGTGCCCTTGAGGACTTAAATAGGAAGTGGCAAAAGGGGGCCATTTAACAGAAACACAGAATATGCTGAGTTGGAAGGGACTCACAAGGGTCATCGAGTCCAACTCCTGGCCATGCACAGGATGATCCCCAGGAGTTACACCCCATGCCTGAGAGTATTGTCCAAATACTTCTTGAACTCTGTCAGGCTTGGTGCTGTGACCACCTCCCTGGGGTGCCTGTTCTAGTGCCCAACCATCCTCTGGGTGAAAAACCTTTTTCTAATATCCAACCTAAACATCGCCTGACACAACTTCAGGCCATTCCCTTGGGTTCTGTCACTGAGCGCCACAGAGAAGAGAATGGTGTCTGTGTTGCAATTATGCCAGGACAGACACGACTGGCACCATCACCAGTCCTTTATTAAAAGCTTCTCATGCCTTCTCTCAGGCAGCTCCACACAGCACTACCTCCTTCTCCCCTTCTCTCTGCAAGTTTCCTTCTGCATGACTGGCTAACCCCAACCTGTCCCTTACCCAGCCACCTAACCCTGTCCATCCCTCACACAACATCTTACCTTGTCTGTCCCTTACATGACTGCATATCCCTTCCTCCTCACAGCACAGCCAACAGACTCCATCTCAAACTGCAGCAGACACTAATCCTCAATCTCCAACTGGCAGCCAGCTAACCCACTCTTTTTAACATCCATCCCCATTGGACAAGTAAGGCTGTTTCTACTCCTCAGTAATCAGTACAGCTGTAATTCATTGAGGAAAATTGCCTTCTGCACTATCCTTACAAACTATCTTCCCACATGTCTGCCCCTCCTCTTCCCCTCATGAGGAAGTTGTAGAGGGTGATCAGGTCTCCTCTCAGTCTCTTCTTATCCAGGGTGAACAGACCAAGCGACCTCAGCGGCTCCTCCCAAGGCTTCCCCTTAAAGCCCTTCAACATCTTCATTGTCCTCCTCTGGATTCTCTCTAATAGCTTAATGTCTTTCTTATATTGTGGTGCCCAAAACTGCACACAATATTTAAGGTGAGGCCACACCAGTGCAGAGCAGGACAATCCCCTCTGTCATGGTTTGACACTGGCCAAATGCCAGGCACCTACAAGAGTTGCTTGCTCACCCTCCCCTGTCAGAGCTGGGTAGAGGAGAGAAAAAAAATTAATGAAGGGTTCACGAGTTGAGATAAGAACTGGGAGAAAACACTTCAAGGGCAAAACAGGCTCAATTTAAGGTTTCAAAGTGAATCTATTACTAACAGAATCAGAGGAGGATAATGAGAAGTAAAATAAGCCCTTAAAACACCTTTTTCACCCCAGCCCCTCCCCCCTTCCCACCAACAGTGCAGGGAGACAGGGCATGGGAGTTTTTTTGGGGTCAGTTCATCACCAAGATTTTCTTACACTGCTCTGGGAGAGCAGTCCTAACCCTGTAACACTGTGGGGTCCCTCCCACGGGAGACAGTTCTCCGTGAACTTCTACAGCGTGGGTCCACTCTCATGAGCAGTAGTCCTACCACACCTGCTGCAACGTTAATTACCCCCCATGGGAAAACAGTCCTCCCAAAACTGCTCTGACATGGGTCTCTCTTTCCATGGGGTGCAGTCCTCCAAGGAAAGGCTGCTCCAGCCTGGAAGCAGGGGCCCCCTCTCTCCACCAGGTCTTCCACTGGATCACTGTTGTGGTCGGGGTATTTGTTGAGGTGATGCAGGTGAAGAAACAGGATGGGCCTTTGCAGGGGTTTCACAGAGATGTTTATTTCAGCCATGCATGAGCACAGTCCAGCACTGAGAGACAAAAAGGCCAGGCAATGGTTTGGGGTTTTGGGTCAGGTATCTGGGATGACCAGGGCGGGGGAAGAATTATCAGAGACCAATTACAAGGGGACATGGGGGTGTTACAAGAGTGGGATTGGGGCATGGGGGCTAACAAGGAAACAGGGTGGGAGTGACTGAAAGGCTGACGGACAGGGAGAGGGCACGGGGTTTGGAACAAGACAGGGATTGTTCTGACTTGATAGAACAGGATTTGTTATCAAAAGGAGACAACTGAGAGAGAGGCCCCTCGCATCTCTCTAACTGGGAGTGCCTTTCAAGGTCTCCACAACTCTCCATTTCTTTATTAATTAAAAAAACCTTCTTTTAGGGATTTTAAAATTAAATGTTGAGGCAATTGAATGAATACAAAATAATAAAACAATCAAAAGCATTTAAGAGACAATTTTCAAAATGCAAACTATTTCTTGAGTCCCCAATGTTTGAATAGGTTTTTTGAAGCATCTTGGAGTTGGTAGAAAGGAGTTGAGGTTTTTTTGGCATAGCTTGTCAGGAAACTGAGTTAGGAAATGGATTCTTCAGCATGGACTGGTGTGGGCCTTGTGACGCACCCACAAAAGAAGGAGACAGACACACTCCTCACACCAGGTTGCATGAACAGGAAAAGACAACTTTATTTATATGACATGTCTATTGAAAGACATCTAACAATGAACACGGATTGGACAGTGATGATAAGACTTTCTGACTCCACTGGCTTCATCATCTGTCCATCAGATGTTCTCTTCCTCCACTGAGGAATGCAAACACTCTGTTTATCAGAAGAGAGTGTGAGAACTGTACAAAGGAATGTTTCAATATCAGAAGGCAAAAACTTAGAGGCAACAGACTGGTACTCTGGTGGCTGTTAGCAGTGGGGTCAGCTGTGATTGAGCCATACAAGATAGAGTGGGGGTGGTGTACCTGTTGGAACTCCAAATAAAAATCGTTAATTTTGAAGAAAAAGGTTGTTATTTTAGGAAACTTTCCTTTCTTTCCCCCCTCGTATCATCCCCCCCTTTGTATTAAGAAGGAATTTTGGGAAAAGGGATTGGTAGCTGGGTAGTAAAGGTAGGGAGAAGCATGGCTGTGGGAGGGAGACCATGGAGGGGAAAGGGAGGTAGGAATTTGGGGGAACATAAAAAAGGGGTAATAGGATTTGGGGAAATTTTGAAAGGAGTTTGACTTATTTTGTGGGTGGAAAAAGGGGAAATTGGGAGGGAGGTAGGGAGACAATAGGGATTGAGAGAAGGCACTTAAAGGAGTGTGACATCAATTTGGGAGGTTCTGGGACTACAGGAAAGGGCTTTTGCTTGCAGGAGGGCTGGTCGGTGCTTTGTGTTGTTTT